GACTGCTGCTCTATATTTAGCTGAACAGCTAGCCCTGCTCCCACCCCAGGACTGCTGGCTTCCAACTGCTCGCCTGCCTGCCTTCCTGATTGCCCCTAACCACTTCTGCTTGCCAGCCTGATCAATCCCTAACCACTCCCCTACCACCCTAATTGATGTCTAACTGCTCCCCTGCCAGCCTATTTGCCCCCAACTTCCCTCCTCTGCTGGCCTGGTCACCCCTAACTGCCCTCCCCTGCAGGGTTGATCTCCCCAAACTTCCCTCCCTTGCAGGCCTGGTCCCTCCCAATTGCCCTCGCCTACTGGCCATCTTGTGTCCACATGGGGGAAGAATCTTTGACCACATGGGGCAGCCATCTTGTGTGTTAGAGTGATGGTCAATTTGCATATTACTCTTTTATTTGATAGGATAGAGGCCTGGTGCATGGGTGGAGGCCAGCTGGTTTGCCCTGAAGGGTGTCCTAGATAAGGGTGGGGGTTTTCTTGGAGCATGGGGCAGCCTGGGCAAGAGATCTGTTGTGGTTTGCAGGCTGGCCACACCCCCCAGCGACCCAAGCAGAGGCCCTGGTATCTGGTATTTATCTTCTATAACTGAAACTTTGTAACCTGGAGCGGAGCCAAGCTTCCTGCTGGCTCTGTGACAGCAGCCATTTCAGTTGGAATTTATATATCTTCTATAACTGAAACTTTGTAGCCTGAAGTAAAGGCTTGAGCTGGCCAGGGCTGCAGAAGTTTGGCTCCTGCATTGCCTGGGGCAACCCTAACCTCCTGTTCTTTCCAGTTCCATGGCTGCTGCTATTTCTGTTTGGATATATGTATCTTCTATGATTGAAACTTTAAAGCCTTGAGTGGAGGCCTAGGCTGGCAAGAGCAGGTGGAAAGCTTGATTTCCTCCAATGCCTGGGAAACCCAAGCCTCCCTCCTGCTCTCTGTGGCTACAGCCATTTTGGTTGGGGTTAATTTGCATACACACTCTGACTAGCTGGTGGGTGTTGCTTGTGGGTATAGCGGAGTGATGGTTAATTTGCATGTTACTCTTTTAATAGATAAGATTGGTAAAATTGAAAGTGGTTTTAGAATTTGACGCTAGTAATTATTCCATATTCTTTTCCTAATTTCATTGGTTATATTGTATTTACACAGGAGAATATCTTTTCTTATATGATACGCACACTAAAGTGTCGAGGGTTGTTGAGGAATCAAGTCAGCAACTTACTCTCAAATGGTTCTGTTACAGTAGGCACCTAGTAAGATATTAACAAAAGAGAAGGAAGCTAGACATCTAATTAAGTTGGTTTAACTATGAGTTTTTGGCTTCTAGACACAGATGATAGCTGAATTGCCCTGCCAATGGGGATAAACTTCCCTTCTTCTTCTGAGTAGAGAGGAAGAACCAGCGTTCCAATCTCCCCAGGGAATTACCAGTCCTTTCCCACAGATTAAACCCAGGGAAGAGGTAAAACAGAGAGGGGGAAATTACTCTGCTGAGGCATGCAAAGAAGCCAGGTGATGAGGCAAAACTATGAGGAATGCGCAGTAGGAGCCAAAATGGCCACCCTAAAGGAGAGGAGTCTAGCCTGGGAAAAGGACAAGATAAGATAATGGTATGGAACCCTGGAAGATTAAGGAAAAGGATTGGATAGGGAGAGGGCCCAGCACAAGCCAGAGGAGAATTAGGAACAAATTGGAGCATTTGAAAGATAGCTTGCTCTTTCCCATGCCCAAGAAAACATAATCAAAGCTGAACAAAGTCTCAAGGTGCACAATGTCTCACTGGTGCTAGACTATTAGAGCCTTGAATGCCAGGGTAATGGCACAGGAGGTCCTCACCCTTCTCCTGAGTGAGCACAAGTGTGGACATGTGGCTCCACAGTGAGATGAAGCTGACCCACCTGGTCATGAATGAGGCAGTACAGCAGCTTCTGCAGGGGCATCTATGCTGTGCATGCCTTTCCAATAAATCTTGCCACTATACCTCAACTCCTCCTATGCATAAGCCCCAAAATGCTTTTTCTGCAACTTTGCAAGGACCCATTTCCAGACTGGCCTAGGAGACCTGCCTTGGTCCTGGTCCACGTCTGACAACAATATAAGAAGAAGAAAAAAAAGTTTTTTGTACAATATGTACAACTTCTCTGTAACTTTGAGATTGTTTCCATGTAAGAGTTTTTTAAATTTCTAAAATAAACAGTGGAAGAGCAGATGCGAAGGACTGCTGCTCTGTATTCAGCTATCCCTGCTCCCACCCCAGGTGATTTTCCCTCATTTCCTCACCAGGCAAACATACTCTATGGACTGTACAAGAACAGTGACTATATACAATTTTATTCTCCTTTATTTAAGGCATAGAAGTGGGTAAATATCACTGAACCAGCAAATCTTTATTGAACATTATTATATTTTCTGCATTGAGTGAGATAGAGAAGAAAAGAAACATGTACAGCACACTGGTATGTATTAAACAAAGAAAAAGAAAAATGATTTCTGCTCTGTAAGGACATTAGTTATGTAGACAAGACTGATATAAATTCAATATAAGAAGCACAATACAGTAAAACCTATATATAATGGACTCATTTGGTTGAGGGAGTGTCCATTAAAGCCAATAATCCGTTACATAATAAAGCAGGTTTCCCAAATGCACATTTAAAAATTGGCAAATTAGTTGGTTTACCCATTTTCACTTATCTATAAAAATAAAAGGATAATATGCTAATTAGACTGGTGTCCTTCCAGACGACACACTGGGGCTGGAGGAAGGCCCAGGTCCTGGATGCCTGAATTTTGTGCATCGGGTCTCTAGTGTAGACATGTTGTGTAATTAAAGTTAAGTATGTATAAAAAGTTTAATTTCAGCCGAAGCTGGTTTGGCTCAGTGGTAGAGCGTCAGTCTGTGGACTGAAGGGTCCCAGGTTCGATTCCAGTCAAGGGCATGTACATTGGTTGTGTGCACATCCCCAGTAGGGGGTGTGCAAGAGGCAGCTGGTCGATGTTTCTCTCTCAGCGATGTTTCTAGCTCTCTATCTCTCTCCCTTCCTCTCTGTAAAAACTCAATTATATATATATATATATATATATATATATATATATATATACACACACACACATATATATATGTATGTTTAATTTCACAGAAAAGTTTTCTGTATGTATTACAGAAATTTTAAATTTAAGCTGAATAGATCTAATAAATGCATGCATTCACCTATCATTGAGAGTAAACAAATGCACACAGCTGGGGCATGGCTCAGTGCACATCGGAATATCAGCTGGCATGCGTTAAACTGACACAGAAAATCATGCCATGCGAAAACAGAACCAATTATCTCACATGATTTGATGTGATTGCTAATCATTTGCCTAACATTGTTTAAGAGCTGTAGACTATAGTGGTAGACATATAATATTTATTTATGTTGGTGAAATTACTACAGTGTTTTTTCCACCATACGACTTAATTACTAAAATTTGTTAAAAATTATAGGGAATTAAAAAACAACAACAACTTGTTAGTTTAATTGTAATCAAATCTTGGTTAAAAGCATTTAAAAATTAACAGGGTGCTAATTTTCACATATGACATACGGACCAGAAATTCTGTCTAAATCCAGTCTGTTAAATTGAGGTCCACAAAATGAAGGGTTTATTGTACATAATTAAGTACTAATTTATATAAATGGGTTAGCTTCACCTCTTACCCCACTCATACCAACTTCCTCAGGAAGAACAATGAAAAGTAGCCAAAATGCCTAATTAAGAAAGACATGTCTTTAGGGTAAAAGTATGAAACAGTGTTGACAGTATAGATCTGAACAAACTGAGAGAACAAAGAACCATGCTGGAACAAAGAGAGAGGCAGAACCTACCAGATCCCTGGTATTCATGAATTCATCAACACTTAACTCTGTGCTAGCCATCTTATCTGTCCATGATACTGCTGAGATAGAGGTGTAAACTGCACACATTGTGAAGCTGTGTACAGGCCATGAGTCAACTGGCAATTGAATAAACTTAGCTGATCACTCAAGATGCAATTAAAATTGGAAGCATTAAGAAGAAAATAAGTAGAAGCTTAGGTCTGAGATTATTAAAAGAACTTTTCTGAGTAAGTAAAATATTAAAATTAACTTGGGATGAAATGAAACCAAGTTCTTCCAGAACTTCTTGGAGCCAAAATATGCTAATGTACGTGTATACCAATAAACAAGATATCATATGCAGCATTTCACTCAGATGAGGAACCATATCAAAACTTCTAAGTAGAATAGGTAGAGTGGAGTAGAATGAATAAGAAAAGAAATAATTATTTTGAGAGGTATAGCATCAAAAACAACTCCATATGATACCTTGCAGTAGCCTCACCCTGTTCTATGGTTTGTTCAATACTTTAGTTTACCTTCCTAATAACTAACAACATAGTACAATTATGATCACCATTTTACTTTGAGAAAATGAGGTATATAAAGGTTAAGGAAACTGCTCAAGGTATACAACTAGAAAATAGTCACAAACCCAAAGTTTCCTAGATTTTCTCCTAAGTTTTCTTCTAGAAGTTTTCTAGTCTTGTATTTTATATTTAGGTTTATTATTGATTTTCAGTCAATTCAGTGAAAGGTATAATGTCTATGTCTAGATTCACTCTTATCTCAGAGCTCATCTTAATCAGTTGGCTCCTATGTCCCTTAAACAGTTTGGCTCCAGGACTCACTTTCTTAACCATTATGTTCTTAACCATTGCTGATGGAATTTTTACCCATTATAAAATAAATTATTAGTTAGATATTAAGCAAAAATGAAAAACAAGCATAATAATTAATTTAAATAGAAGGCTAGGAATTTAAAAAGCCCTATTCAATGACAATTAGAATAGGGGGAAAGTGGTAAAAAGATCTATAATTACATTTATGATAATACCTAGTTTATTAGAATTAAGAAGAATCCCCAATTCCCTCACGCACACTAAGGAGAATAGATTGGTAAGCGCTTGGAGGAGCTCTCACCGTGACTCTCCTTGTATCCAGCTGGCGCAGCTGCAGCATGTTCTGAAGAACAGTGTGCTTGTACCATGGCTCCTGAGCTATGGGGTTGCCATCAAAAGTGATGTCTGAGAGAGAAGGAGAATCAGCAAGGCAGCAAACACTCTCAAAACTGTAGAGACAGAAAACACTGTTATTGTGACCTTCAAAACTTTGATTTGTTTAATAGAAGTTTAAATTTACAGAAATTTTTTGAGTATAGTGCAATTCTCACATACTCTCCACCCAGTTTCCCCTATAATTAACATCTTATATTAGCTCCAGAGGCCCAGTGCACAAAATTCATGCACCGAGGGGCGGGGGTATCCCTCAGACCAGCCTGCACCCTCTCCAATCTGGGAACCCTTGGGGGATGTCTGACATAGGGATTGGGCCTAAACCGGCAGCCAGACATCCCTCTCACAATCCAGGACTGCTGGCTCCTAACCACTCCTCTGCCTGCCTGATTGATGTCTAACTGCTCCCCTACCAGCCTGGTCCCTCCCAACTGCCCTCTCCTGCAAGCATGATGGACGCCTAACTGCTCCCCTGCTGGTCCAATTGCCCCCAACTGCCCTCCCCTGACAGCCTGGGCACCCCTAACTGCCCTCGCCTGTTAGCCTGGGCACCCACATCTGCCCTACCCTGCCAACTATCTTGTGATGGCCATCTTGTGATGATATGGGGGCAGCCATCTTGTGATGATATGGGGCAACCATCTTGTGTGTGAGAGTGTGATGGTCAATTTGCATATTGCCTCTTTATTATATAGGATAGTATACTTTTAAAATAATTAATGCACTAATCCTATATAATAAAAGGCTAATATGCAAATTTCCCCCAGATGTGGAAGTTTGACCAACCAGGAGTTATACCTGTACTGACCACCACGATCAGCACGGAACATGGTGGGCATCAGCAACACGGTGCTGGCAGTGGACAGCAGTGGAGATGCTGCCAGCCCTGATGGGCTTCGATGAGAGAGGGACTGCAGCAGGATGGTGGATCAAGTGAGCGTGCAGCACCAGGCCAAAGCAGGTGGGAAGGGAGGTCCTGGTTGGCAGTGGCAGCAGGCAGCCAGGGGAAGGGAGGCCCCAGCTGATAGCAGCAGCCACTAGGGACCCTACATGTGCATGAATTTTGTGCACTGGGCCTCTAGTATTAATATATTTTTATTAACTCAAGTCCATATTTTATCCAGATTTCCTAAGCTTGTACCTACTGTCCTTATTCTGTTTCTGGACCCTATCAAGAATGTCATATTACATTTAGTTGTCATGTCAACTTAGGCTCCTTTTAGCTGGGACAATTTCTTAGAATTTCCTTCTTTTTTAACAACCTTGACATTTTGCAGCATATTTATCAGGTATTTTGTAGGATGACCCTGTATTGAATTTGTCTGATATTTTTCTAGTGATTAGACAAAGGTTGAGGTACATACTATTAACTAACATGACATCACTGTTAAAGTTGACCTTGATGACCTGGCTAAGGAAGTGTTTTTCAGGTTTCTGAAATGTGAATTTACTCTTCTCTCCGCTGAATTCATTGGAAGAAAGTCATTATCAGCAGCCCATAGTTAGGGATTGGAAGTTCAGTTTTCCCTCCTTGAGGGCCAACTATCTACATAAATTACTTGAAATTTTTCTTTCTAGGAGGTTTGTCTTTTTTTTTTTTTTTTTTTTTTTTACCATTTATTTATGTATATCAGTTTGGATTCATGAATATTTATTTTATATTTTGGATTTCAATCCAATACTACTTTTTTTAAAAATATATTTTTATTGATTTTTCACAGAGAGGAAGAGAGAAGGATAGAGAGTTAGAAACATTGATGAGAGAGAATCATCGATCAGCTGCTTCTTGCACACCCTGTGCCCGCAACCAAGGTACATGCCCTTGCCCAGAATCAAACCCAGGACCTTTCAGTCCACAGGCCAATGCTCTATCCACTGAGCCAAACCGGTCCCGGCTATTTTATTTATTTTATTCAAATTGTTCCAGCTTTGGCCCCTGAAAGCTCTTTCATTTAGCTCCTATGAGTCTTTGAAATACACCCACCATTAATGTAGGTGTGTGTGTTTGTGTGTGTGTGTGTGTGTGTGTGTGTGTGTGTGTGTGTGTTTCCTTACTTTCTGGCACTACAAAATTCTCTAGGCTCATATTATATACTAGAGGCCTGATGGGGATCCTTGGCCTGGCCAGGATTTGGCTAAACCCAGCTCTCTGACATCCCTCAATTAGTCCCAGATTGCAAGAGGGTGCAGGCCAGGCTGAGGGACCCCACAGGTGCACAATCAGGGCCAGGGAGGGATGTGGGAGGTTGGCCGCCAGGGAAGGACCATAGGAGGGCTCCAGGGTATGTCCAGCCTGTCTTGCTAAGTCCCGATCAGCCAGACCCCAGCAGCAAGCTAACCTACTGGTCAAAGCATCTGCTCCCTGATGGTCAGTGCATGCCATAGTGACTGGTTGACGGGTTGACTGTCTGCCTCCTGGTGGTGGGTACATATCATAGCAAGTAGTTGAGCAGCCTTAGAATATCATTAGCATACTGCACTTTGATTGGTTGAACAGATGACTGGACACTTAGCATATTAGGCTTTTTTTTGCATAGGATTATATAGGATATCCTACCCCAGTCTCAGAATCAGCCTTCTCTCCAAGGATCTATGTTCCTTATATTGGGAATGGTATTAGAAACAAATACCTGCATATTTGCCATCTGCGCATGTTTTCCTGTGTGTTCAATCTTGTGCCATTTTAAAAATGTTTTGTTTTTGTCTTCTTATTGTTAAGTATTAAGAGTTATTTAAAGACACACACACACACACACACACACACACACACACACACACACACTAGAGGCCCGGTGCATGAAATTTGTGCATGCGGGCAAGATGGGGGGTGTCCCTCAGCCCAGCCTGCACCCTCTACAATCTGGGACATCCCTCTCACAATCCAGGACTGCTGGCTCCCAACTGCTCGCCTGCCTGCCTTCCTGATTGCCCCTAACTGCTTCTGCCTGCCAGCCTGATCACCTCCTAACCACTCCCATGCCAGCCTGATTGATGTCTAACTATTCCCCTGCCAGCCTGTTTGCCCCCAACTTCCCTCCTCTGCTGGCCTGGTTACCCCTAACTGCCCTCCCCTGCAGGGTTGATTACTTCCAACTGCCCTCCCTTGCAGTCCTGGTTCGTCTCAACTACCCTCTCTGATAGGCCTGGTCCCTCCCAACTGCCCTCACCTGCTGGCCATCTTGTGTCCACATGGGGCAGGATCTTAGACCACATGTGAGTAGCCATCTTGTGTGATGGAGTGATGGTCAATCTGCATATTATTCTTTTATTAGGTAGGGGTTCCCTTGGAGAATGGGGTGGTCTGGGCAAGGGGCCTGTAGTGGTTTGCAGGACAGCCATGCCTCCTGGTGACCCAAGCTGAGGCCCTGGTACCTGGAATTTATTTACCTTCTACAATTGAAACTTTGTAGCCTGGAGCAGAGCCAAGCTTCCTGCTTGTTTTGTGTCTTCCGCCATTTCTGTTTGGATTTGTTTACCTTCTGTAATTGAAACTTTGTAACCTTGAGTGGATATAGGGCCTTCTGGGGCCTGCCGGGGAAACCCAAGCCTCCTTTCTGGTAGCCATCTTGGTTGGGTTTATTTGTATACTCTGATTGCCTGATGGGTGTGGCTGGTGGTTGTGGCTTGTGGGTGTAGCAGAGTGGTGGTTAATTTGCATATTACTCTTTTATTAGGTAAAATAATATATTCTTTGGCCATGTGTTATGTTATTGCTGGGGCACTGTCCGCCCAGATTATGGCCTACTACACACCTACTTTTATGTTCAACACACCCTATTACTTTAGAGGCCAATATGTGAAATATCCCTCTGCCCATCTAATCGTCACTATTATGTACACTGACCACCAGGGAGCAAATGCTCAAAGCAGGAGCTGTGAAGCTGTGAAGCTGCAGTGACTTGGCACCAGAGGTTCTCAGGTGACGTACCCCAAAACCAGAGAGGAGGGAGACCATTTCCTTGTGGGACCACATAATTACAACTTTGGCCATGGGTTATGTTGTTGCCTGGGCACCGTCTGCCCAGAATCTGGCTTTACTACACACCTGCTTTTACGTTCTACACACCCTATTACTGCAACTTTGCAGAGTGCCCTCTCATACTCTGGGACCCCTCACGGGATGTTGGAGAACCAGATTCGGTCCAATCCCAGAGGGAAGGCTGAGGGATCCCACCCTCTGTAAGGACCCCACTCACTTTGCAGACATCCTTTGAGCCATACCACCACCCCAGGGGTGGTTGTCTGGGGAGAGACCACAGAAAGTTGGCTCCAGGGTGTGTCTGTCACATATTGCCCAGTCCACCCACCAGCCACCTTCTACTTGATTTCCTTTCAATGTGCACAAATCTGTACACTGGGTCACTAGTCTTCCCATAATTACCAAACATGCCTCAAAAACTATGATGTGCATATGAAGAATGGGATTTATCTTTCAGATTGTTAAACATAAGCTCTGAGGTAAAATAATGAATAACAGAGTCTTTACCTTGAATGAGAGGAAAACATACTAGAAGTATTTAAATGTGAAAATAAAAACACTTTATTCTTATAAAAGACCTTGCCTCAACTTTAATTGTGAAAAAAACAGGTTTTTTACTGTACCATAAATATTTTATAACACCTACCTTTTCTTAACACAGGCATAAAGGGTTTTAAATATAGTGCCCAGAAAAAGAAACTACTTTTAGGTTTAAGTGTTAACATAAGTTATTTGAATATTCATTAAATGAATTTTACTAACCTTAGTTATTTAGGTATTATTTGGAAAAGAAATTATTCCTTTCTTTAATCAAAATTCCAGCAAGTTATTTTGTAGATATCAACAAGGATGGTAAAGTTTATATGGAAAATCTAAGGCCTAGATTAGCAACACAAGGAACAAAGTTGGAGGACTCACACTAACCTATTTCAAGACTTAGATGAAAGTACAATAATCAGGAAAGTGTGGTATTGGTAAAAGAATAGATACATATATCAATGGGACAGAGTAGAGGGCCCAGAAACAGACTCACAAAATTATAGTCAAGTGCTCTTTGACAAAGGATCAAAGGCAACA